GTTGCGGCTGTTTTTCCTGCAGGGTTCGGCCTTGGCTCACTCACTCCTCTGCCTTGTCCTGGCTTGTTTACACACTCCCTCCTCCTGTTCGCTTTGCTGGAAGCTCTCTGCCCTGTCTCCTTTTCCACGCTGTGACTCCTGTGTTATCTTGACTTTCATCCATCCACAGCCTCTGAGCTTATTGAAACTCTTCCAACAGTTCGAATGCACTGCCTCAAACATACGCGTGCCTTTTGTTTCAGGAGAAAAGAGCTGCCATATCAGAGGACAGTTAAAAGGAGGGGCTGAGCCTTCCCCCAGATTACTACAAGGAAAATGGTGTTTTTACCCAAGAAGCACAAATTCCTTCTCCCCCTCCTCCTGTGTGTCCTCCTCACCTGTCTGTGCCAGGCAGCCAACACCAGCTCAGCCAACACCCCAACCGCTTCCTCTGCCTTCTCAAACGATACTTCCCTGAAGGGCGTGCCAGGCTGTGGCACAGGACTGGACCCCATCTACAGGTACCTGTGTGACCGCCGGGCAGCGTGGGGGATCGTGCTGGAGACCCTGGCCTCCTCAGGCTTCCTCTTCACCATGACTCTCCTCTTGGGCCTGCTGCTCTGGTCCCTGTGCATCTGCAGTGCCTCCCGGCACCAGCGCAGCAGCATCGCAGCCATGGTTACTTCCATGTCCTTGTTCTTGTTGGCCACAGCTGGGATCTTCGCCATCACCTTCTCCTTCATCATCCGCCTTACCCCACAGACCTGCGCCACCAGGATCTTCCTTTTCAGCGTGCTCTTCTGCCTGGCCTTCTCCTGCCTATTGGCTCGCCTCCTGGCTCTGCTGGGCTTCACAGCAGCCCAGGGCTGGAGCGAGCCTGCCATAGCCCTGGGGCTCTTCACCGTGCAGGTGATCATCTCTGCCGAGTGGCTGATCCTTGTGGTGGTCCGGGACAACAACCCTTGTGAGTACAGCCCCAAGGAATTTGTCATGCTGCAGATCTACGTGCTGTGCCTCCTGTTTATCAGCTTGATCCTCTCCCTGCACTTCATGTGCCGCTCCTGCTTCACACACAGCTACAGCTACAGCTACACAGGGCCCATCAACCAGCAGGGCAGGCAACAGGCCATGGTGCTCTGGCTCACCCTGCTGCTCTCCGCCTGCATCTGGGTGGTGTGGATCACCATGCTCACCAGGGGAAACCCTGAGCTTGACCGGCGCCCGCAGTGGGATGACCCGGTGCTTAGTATCGCCTTGGTGGCCAACGGCTGGGTGTTACTGATGGGGTACGCCTTGTCGCAGGTCGCCTTCCTCTGCAGAGGGGGGGCCAAGTCCAAGGATATCCCCCTGAGCTTTGTGGGCTGGACCAGCCCCACCGCTGACACCCCAGAACTGGGCGGTCAGAAGGAAGGGAAGGAAAATGGAAGCTTTGAGAAAGACGGAGAAAACAGGAGAGGTGAGAGACATGTGTCATGCTGAAGCTCGATGTAGGGTTCGAAAAGAGTCAGGGCTGCAATTAAGTACTACTGTCATTAGTGGTTAATCCGATTTGTTTATCGATTAATTCATTTAATTGCTTTGGTCAATGAAATGTCAGATAGAAGAAAAATCCACATCATAGATTCCCAATGTAAGGTCCAAGATGACATCTTCTGCTTTTTTCTGGCCAACAGTCTGAAAACAGTCAATTTACTATTTTAAAGGACAAAGAAATTAAGTAAATATCCCCTTTTAAAGAGACGACACTGCTGTGGACCGTTTGTCTTAAAAATAACTGAGATTAATTAATCATGACTTAAAGCACGATCTTTCCCCTGCTTATCTGCTGGGTCTTCTTCACATGAACCCTCGAGAGGGCCTTACATAATCCATCCATATAGGTCATATCAAAACCACAAATATGACCCCCAGGACCTCCAGAGGTCACTTTGCTCGCTACGGTCCTCAGCAAGTCTTCTACCAGCCCCTGACCTTAGCACAGGGGCCCAGGGCCCGACCTCAGCGTGGGGCCCTGCCCCTGACCTCGGCGAGGGGCCCTGCCCCTGACCTCAGCACGGAGCCCAGGGCCTTCTCCTGTGCTGCACCACAGTTCTTCTCCCTCATATTTGCTCATTAGATGCAGTTACTGAACTTAAGACTGCAATAAAACTTAAATTTTCAAATTAGCATATTCATTATAATTGCACTGGAATAAATAATTCAGCGCTGATTTTCAGGTTTTATTGCTAATGATATTTTATTATTAATGCTTGATTGTAATTTTATATTGGGTTACTTACTTTTATTGACTGATGTAAAGTGACCTTGAGTGTCCAAATAAAATGGATCATTATTAATTTTCTGCTAATTCAACCATCAATCCATCAACTGAATATTTCAGCTCTGAAAACAATAATTCATTAAGGAAAAGAACTTATAAAGGTCACTGCCCCCCCAATACTACACGTCCCAGTCAAAGTGAGTCCAACCAGCAGCTCCAGACTCACTGAGCAGTCAGAATCAACATGGAGCCCGTGTCCAGCATTAGAACAAGAGCTCAGCTCTCACTGTGGCCCTTTGTGGTCAACTACATATAATGATCTGATCATTACTGAATCATGTGTCCCCCCTTCAGGCAGGAGAACCGAGCAGTCGCTGAAGTCGCCCTACGATGGATTCTCCGTGAGAGTGAGTAATCCTAGAATTAATCATCGTGACCTTTAACCACTGGGGATCTTTAGGGGGAGTCACATCGTTATTAAAGCACAGTTTATCACGGGGATTCATTGCTCCGACATGAACGTGTGTTTATGTGCATTTCAGGAAATCGACCCCGACAAAGACTACACCATTCCTCGGCCTCAGCCCACCAACTACGCGGAACCTTATGATGAATATTATGGACAAGAATAAAATCAACATGCACATGAACTGAAACCAAACCCAAAGCTGAGCACGACCCAACCCTTCTGTATTTCAAATGCTCGGCACAAAACTGCTTTTTGTTAATGTCCTCATGCAAATGTAAATATTTGTGTAGCGTTATAAGAAATGTTTTAACAGAACTGTCAAACCCCCTGTCCCGAAAAGAAACGACTCAGCAGTGTGACTTTCACCAGGGAGGCTGGAAGTGTCCAGGGTGCAGCCTTCTTCTGGCGAGAAATGCACATCACAAATGCTTAGTGATGATGGTGTGTGTGTGTGTCTGTGTGTACACTGTGTGCTAGACTGGGGTGGCATGTAATCCCTGAGGTGATGGAGGCGGCGTGAAGCTGCAGAAGCATCTGTGAACGGTGGAGAGGAGGGATGAAAGGAGCGAGACGGGAGGAGAGGGAAGAGGGAGATAAACTAAGATGAGGCAGGAGGAGGTTAGGACAGGAAACCCGCCAGCTCTGGAGGGGTGGGGTGGGGGGGTGCCATCCCCGATTAACATCCTCGTGGTTACGGTGACATCCCAGCTCCTGGATGCTGTGCTGCAGCAAAAACAACACACGTTCTGTGTATATGGACAGATACAAGATTTGTCAATAAAATGTTCACCAACAACAGCCTGGATCTGTTTGTAATATCCTCACAATGTGCACAGATGGTGCACCAAAGGCCAGCTCCTCTCTCCAGCAGAATCTGCGCCATGCCTCCAGGCACCTGCTGCAAACTGGAGCTCCACCACGCAGAGCAGTGGTAGCACCACTTTGTACCAGCAGGGGGCAGTGTCTCGGCCACACTGACCCAACTCAGGCAATATACAGCCTGGTTAAAGATGTGTTCTCGTTATTATGGATGGATTACTGAGCGGGCCCCCTGAACCAGAGCCTGTCTGAAAGAGCTCGGTTACAAGACCAAAGAGATGCAAAACAACCAGAAACAGAAACAGTTAGCTGTGTGTTTTTCAGTCTGGGGTCCAGTATAGAGGGAGGTATTATAATGGTCATCATATTGTTTACACAGAAACCTAGCATCACTGTTCAACTCTACAGTTTCATATTGACCGAGGTCACGATGGTGTGCTCTGCACTTTCCCTCCACAGTGACTCTGCCATTCACAAAGGTCAGTTTCTCACTTCAGCAGAGATGCAATCTTCACTCATCCCCCTCTTATCAGCCGGCCTTCAATGTATTCTTCCAATTAGTCTGACTTCAATTACTCAGAGAGTGCACACCATCAAATTGACAATTGGCCTCTTGTGCATTAGAGCAATTAGCAGGGATATGAGGTTTCCTGCCACATCCAGCCTATTTACAGCCATTAACTCCAGATGCAATTAAAGATTGTTCCAGATTGTTCCCCCTTGGCAGCAATGAGAAAGTTGGAGGTGGCAGAAGAGCTTACAGAGCTTGTACCAGAGGAGCAAAAGGTGCAACCCAGTCAAGCAGTGTAAATCCTGTTGCCTCCATCCATCACCGTCCATCGCCGGACTGAGCTGATGCACCACCGAGAAGTTTCTGGACAGTCAGATTCCTGTTCAGCTGGTCGCAACAATGCTCTGACCTTTCACACTGGGGTGAATCAAACACCGTCTTCTGATTGGACAACCTCATTCAAACCAAACACTGGAAAGATAACGATAAGCCCGACACCATTATGGGAAGAGAATGACATCATGGACACCAGCTCCTAAGTCTAGGGACTGGACTGTGGAGAGCGGGCTCCATCAGCTCCTGGTGATCGGTAGGTGTGAGTGTTTGGGACCACACTGTAGGAAGTGTTCAAAGACCAGTATAAAAACCAAACAGTTTATTTATTATATACATTCAATAATAATGAAGAGAATAAACAAGGCAGACACAAGGGTGGCAAAGTAAAACACTGAAAAAATACGTCACTGAAAAGAAATCACTCGTATTAAATGAGCTTTTAAGAGCATGTGACAAAAAACCTCCACATGCAATTGAAACCCATTTATGAAATCCCTGTACAAAAATCCCACTGGGTTTGACTGGAGTGCAGGGTGGGGAGAGGGGGGGGTCAGCGGCTGAGGAGAACGTCTGTGTCGCTGCTGCACAGCTCCGTCCTCAGGAGACGAAACCAGGCAGGCCACCTCCACAGCAGCTGTCCCAACCGGGGAGCGAGGTGGAGGTAAATGGGCGCGTCTGTGGCCGGGTTCACAATAATACTTTGCACCAGCGTCGTCTCCATCACCAGCTCTCCCAGTGAAGCTGTCACTGGTTTACAGCAGCCCACAGGATCCACCCACACCTGCTGACTGGTGATTACTACGACACGGCTGCAGAGGCAACCCCCCCCACGGAGCTGCTTCTCCCCCTGCTGCTGTGTGAACACCCCACCCTCCTCCAGCACTAGGATTTGAATTCATGCACAAACGAAAAGCCCGACGCCCTTCCCCTCTCACAACAGCATGCATAGCAACACTTCTGATAATACTTATAAGGAATAAGAAGACAAAAAAAGAGGCAATGCGCACCAAAAATACTCACTGGACCTACTGCACATGGTTTTCACAATCATACAAAACGATGCAACCCTCCTCATGCTGCCCGCGCCACCCTGAGCGACTGTGCCCCCCATGGGAAAAGCAAACCCAAAGACAGTGGGCGGTGTTGTCCTGTTGGCTAGTGATGACCAGCTCAGCCTCTCACCTTCACCGCCACAGTGTCCTTCTACCACCCACACATTGTTCAGAAGGCGGGCGCTGCTGGACCACAGGGCCCTCTCCACATTGTGTGGATGCCCCCCACCCCCCACAGATTTGGCCCTGCTGGCAAATGCAATCTAAAAAATATCCTCTCACGTCCACCTCTGTCTTCCTCTTGACTCCACCTCTTGTTCCGACTTCCCTCGTCTGCAGCAAACACCTCTGCATCACTAAAACGAAGCCAATAAATCAGCGTGTGGACTCAATTAAACTGAACTGGGTTGTTTTGTTTGCAGGTCAAAATTCCCAAATTGCTGCAACCTTTCAAACCCATCCTGCGTCTTTACTTCAATGACATTTCTCAGGGTGCTGTACTGAAAAATACAACTTCAGACCACAGATAAAAAACTGAAAATAAAGTAAGAGGCAAAGAAAACTGACCACAAATATAAGAAATACATCAGGACCAAAAATGTGCTTTCTTCAGAAAATCTTTGGAACCAAAAAGGCAAATAACAGCAATAACAACATAGTGAGAGTATACGGGTCAGAGAACTGCCAGTCCGACTGTTCAGAGCCAATCGGCTCAGAGAGTGTGATTCAAAATGACTAACCGATGTGGACACCTAGTGAAAAGAATGAATATAAATAGACCATTCTCATTACTTCATGACTGCAGTCTCTCTGTTTCACTGGATTCTAGTCGGTGCTCTTCTGCTGAGTGGAGTTCAGACACCGTGTCCACGCACAGAGCGGCTCCGCCTGCAGCCAGGAGGGGCTCGGGCTGACCGCCACATGATTAGCCTCCCACTCTCCTGCTTCCAGTCCGCTCTGCTAAATCTACTTCCCTCGTGTTGCGATGGTCCTTTGTCCGTCGGACCCGCTCCTCCTCTGCATCGCTGCTACAGCTGGAATGTCTGACGGCGGAGGACGCACAGAGAAGTGCATCCAGGCCTTTTTTTGGAAGAAGTACTACGAGCAGATTGAGGGCGAGCCTTAGAGGGGAGGCAGGCGGAGCTCTCCAAATGGACATAACATACAGGGTCTGTTCATAGCTGCAGTGAAAGTGTAGTGTTGCACCCATGGTACTAAATGGAATATGTGCAGACCAGCAATAAGGACAGATTCATGGCTGTGTCACTGAAAATAACGATGTCAACGTGTCCACGTTATATATAATGACAAGTCTATGCAGCTTCTCCTCAATGGCAGCAAAACGACAAACTGAGGTAATGCAGAAAAAACAAAGTCGCTTTTTGTTTTCCTTGTCGATTTCACACTTGTTCTGGAACCTTTTTTCTAACTTTCTGTTTCCTCTTACAGCGGGGTTGTGTTGGCAAACGCTGGACTTCCTCCCATGTCAGGTTGTTTACAGTTGTAGCGGGCTCTGTCAGCCAGACGCTCCCAGGTCGGCTCCGACTCAATGTTCAGTTTTACTCACAAATCCTCTGTCTGTATCACACAACCAGAGTTTGATTCATGATTTCCTTCTTATACCATGATGCTAAACCAGAGGGATGTGTCTTTAGCTTTGCACCAAGTGTTTAGTGTTTAAAAGTAGGACTACTTTATCTTATTGATGCTGTGCTGTGGCAGGTCTGTCATCTGGTCCAAAGACACATGTAGAGGAACCATATACTTGGCGTTGAATGGAAACGTGAGGCCGTACGGGGCAGTGGGTGTACTGTAAGTTCAAAGGGTTGCACTGTGCAGGATCACACAGGAACAGTAGTTTCTCTCCCTCCGGGTCTCATAGTGTTTCTAAAGAACGTCCTAATTTGTGCCCCGTAGTTCAGCGTAGTTAGCTCCGGCTTTTTATGTGGGAGACACTCCTGGCAGTGTCCATGTCAGCGACAGAGAAAAGAAACAGTTCGAGCTGATGATGTGGCAATGACCTGTCTCGCCACAATAACAAAGAAACAAAACAAGAGAAACAAAAACCCTGTGACTTGTCACTATAGTCCGCCTGCAGAGAAATGGAGGGGAGCTCCTGCCAGACAAAGAGCTGGGAAAAGGGTTTTGGAGCGATGGGAAATTCCGTGGGTGTGATTTGTGGTTTTAGTAAGGAGCAAACCTACTGTATCCGGCCCGATATAAACTGGCCTGGAAGAGACAGAAGGGACAACAGAGTCAAGTTACAGCTCTTCATTGTTGCAGTTGTGAGTCATCTGTAAAATGCAGCTGGTTCATATTTACATTTATTTATCCAAGACTGCAAATGTGTACATTTATTAACATGCACACACCCTTTGCACACCTACTACCTTGTATTGTGTAAAAACCTGTTTAAAAGTACTTTCATGTAGAGCGTGTGTCAGTTGTCTCACCATGGCTCCCACTCCATAAGCAGCAGCAGCTGGAGCTAAAGCGTGGTAGGGATCTGTAGTGTACACCCGGCCGTAACTAGAAACACAAACACAACACACAGCGCATTACACAGCTGAGTGATTCTGACCAGCTACCCTGTGGCCTTTCTGACCATGTTGTTTGTTCACATGCGCCTGTGTGCATCTAAAGCTAAGCTGTTTGTTTTGGTAGCATTAGCCACCTAGCATGGTCAGGATTTTACCTTTGTATTGAATTAATATGGTTTTAATTTGAGACTAATTGGAGCTTTGTGTAACGTCAATGCTTTGTGTCACATCAGCAGTAACCAAAGTGTTCTACTGGACTGATTTATGATTAGTCAGCTAACACTAGCTTCAGACTAGAGGCTGCAGTTTGCACAGTTTGTCCCAACCAGGCATCTGTAGTTTACGTTGGAAACAGGACATGATGGGAGGGGCAGAGAACGGTTAGGAGCTGTTTGTGGTGCCACTTTGTTTTGAGACTAACTAGACCCTCTGGGTTAAAAGACAGTAGGCAGAGTAGCTTTCAGTTTTACCGTTATCCATCCATAAATACTGTTGCTGAGCATTTATGCCCTTTTACATCTGATTTCCCTGTGTAATCAAAGAACAGCGGAGAAGAGTCTTCTGTGCCAAAACTGCATCTCAGCAGCTGTGTGTCTGTTTGTTGATGTGTGTCCTGGGTTGACCTCACCTGTCGCTGTAGGCGGCGGCTGCAGCAGTCGCTCCAGTTACTGCTGCGGGCTGGGCGTAGCGATAGGCGGCAGCGGCGGCCGCAGCAGCAGGGTAGCCTCCCTAGAGACACATGCACACACATACAACAGAACTAAATCACATGACTATGAGGAACAACACAGAGGTAAGGTGTGTGTGTGTGTGGGGGGGGGGCTCCATACAGCAATGCATTATACTGTAATTTAATTCCACAAAACAGTTATATATAAATTTGGGTAATTTTAAAGGGTAATTTTAAATACAGTCTGTAGATGATTAATGTGTTAACAATAAATACAAGCAATGTGTAAACTACAGATACATTTCACAAATCATTTTCCTCTTATTCAGAAGAAAGTGACTTGTTCCTAACAATAAATAAAGTATACTGCATTTCTCTATGGGGAAAGGGGGGGGTGGGGTGGAAGTATTTTATCGGTAAGACACGGAGGAAATTGGACTGTCAAGGTTGTATTATTACCACTAAGGGCGACTGGGAAGGTGAAAACAGTGGAAGACAAAATGTTCACACAGCTGAGGCCATATAGAAACCTCAGTGTCTCGTCAGAGGATTCAAGTAATGAACAAATATGTCAACAGCTTGAGGAGCCAGACATATTAATGACAAAAACAGCATTTGTTATTATTGTTGGTGATCTTTCCCGGGGATCCGGGAGAAAGAAAACACAGAGGAAGATGGAAAAAAAAAAGTCATACACAAACAAACACACCCACACAAGCCTGTACTGACACTAAAATCATCTCCTCGCACCGAGACTGCATGCATGACCCAAAATTACACTTCACACCTACGCAAATGAAAAAAAAAAAAAAAAAAAAACACCTCCACTGCATGAGGACCTGCGCTTGGATCAGAACAGAGCACAGCAAAGGCCAACAGAAAGACGCCGGCATTCTCCGAGACGCCTGCAGGACACGGAGCAGTGGCGGAGGGGCGGGGTGGGAACAACAGGGGTGTTAGGGGAGAGAGCAAGGCCTTCTGGGTGAGTGGAGGGAAAGGACGACACGCAGCAGTAATACAGTACGTCTGCATGCAGCAGCTGATCAGCACATGCTTCAGTAATCATCCTGGGAGGGGTCAGGGTGGTTTAATTCAGAAAGAGGCCATGTTCTCCGTTTCAGAGCGTCTCGCGCCCCAGGGTAACACCGGCTGCACCCAGCAGCCTCTAGTTTATATAATAATGTGTTTGTATTTTATGTTTCTGAAGGTGTGAGTTTGGCCAAGATAAGGATGGGCGTCGTTTTTCTGCAAAACTAGCCAACCAGACAAAAGAGACCAGGTTCTCTTTTGAACAAACTGGAAGGAAAAAAACAGACTCAGCACAATTTATTAGTCGAGTCCACAAACAAAGCCCTTCCCCGCCATCGAAAACAGTGCACATTTCAGTGAGTTAGTAGGAAAACAAAGCAAAATTCAAAGCAGTGGTAATTTACTTTTGATAACAACTAAAAGACAACATGTTCCAGGTCAGATCACAAGATGATTCATAGGATCAGGGGGTAGTACAGTAAAACAATGCACACTGTGGGGTTGGAGTCGAGTTGACCCTACCTGAGCCAATCTGGGACTAAGGACTGAGTCCTGAAACACTAGTCTATAGAGAGAACAGAAACAGCCGTTGTCAACCTGGATACACACACGCTTTGTTGGCACACTCGCACACTGACACACGCTGCCACATCTGCCCACAGAGCAGCCTTTGTGCTGGAGTCTGAGACCCTCCATCCCGTCCCTGAGATCACATGACCTGTGTCGACCCAATTTATTTTTTATTATCATCACAATAAACGGCGACCCTAAGGCGAACAGCACTATGTGTCATTAAGGACGTCGTGCTTCACCGCGGGTCCATTCATCGTGACGCAGGCGGCTCTGTGCGGCACGTGGCCGGACGCACATGCAGATTCACCCCAGAGGAGAAAAGAGCAGGAGAAAGGCGTGAGGGGAGGGGCGGGGAGGGTGTGTCGGTGGGAGGTCAGTTTACTTACATACAAGTCTGCGGCTCCGTAAAACCCATCCTGATACACCACACTGAGAGAGGAAGAAGACAGGAGAGATGGGGGGAGGGGGGGTGCAAACGAAGTGGTGCACAGTCCCACAAACCCGTGTGGATGAACGTCACGGCACAGCGAAACAGAGGGGGGAACAGGAAGGGAGGGGGAGAGAGAGAGAGGTTACTTCACACCCATGCAGCATGCAGAGGAAATACAACTTCCATTTAAGCTCCAACCGCAAACACTCGACAGACCTGTGGGACTGATAGATAACGTTCAATGAGCCGAAATGAGCCCATAACCTGCTCCTGTTCCCCAGCTAAGGGGAAATCAGGGCACTAAAGGGGACTGTGTATGGGTCACGTTCTGGGAGGGGCAGTTTTCAGTTGAGCACATATGGACAGGGTATTTCCTACAGCCCCGGTCTCATCGTGTTTGGCTTGAGCTGAATGCCATCATCACGGTACAAGTCCATTCGCCAGTCATTTGATCTGAATATCACAGCACAGCAACAACATGCACAGCACACACACAGTGAATGGGAATAATCTGTAGTCTGTGAGCAGGCTGGTGTTTGTGTGTGTGTGTGTGTCTGCAGATGCCGGTGTCTGCATGTTCATTCATCAGTGCGATCCCATCAGTGCATCCTACGCCACTGAATAGCCTGTGAACTGACAATGTGCTGCTAAAGGCAGTGAGGTGTGAATAATGTCTGAGCACAGCTGCACTAAACAGAGACCTGCTCAAATAGAATTTGGGAAATGACTCTGACAATGGCGTTCACAAGGTGCCAGGCACTGGACTGAACATTACTGTTAAAGTTCCAAGTGTTTTCTAGGAAACGGTCTGGTACAGCTGTGAAGTGTGTGAAGTCAACAGCCCTTGTTTATGAGCAGCGTGTCCCTCTTACCCGGGGTAGGCAGGGATGGCAGGCTGAGGCACAGCAGCCCGCACGGCGCTGTAGAGGGGCCGACCCCGACCCCTGAGGTGAGCCCCGCGAAACGCTGCTGCTGCTGCTGTGGGGGCTGGTGGGGGCGTTGGGTGTGGGGAGGG